GAATCCATCTTACCTGAAGGGTCCATCTTTGCTGAACTTACCCTATTATTGTTTTTGTTATTATTATTATTATTATTATTACTATTAATAATAATAATAATATTATTTTTATTATCAAAATCATCGTGGTAATCATTAACTTAATCTTATCTTAACGCTCTCCTGTCCTCAAATTGGACATTGAGGCTTCAAGAATCATCATCTTCACTTTTTTTTGTCTTTCGCCACAATTTCTGCATTCTTCCAGCTACTAAAACCAAGTTCTTTTCTTTCTGCTTCAACGGTGCACCTCCACGTTGTTTTTAGGTCTACCTATCATTAACATCACTTTTAATATTGTCATTGTCACTGTTCTTGTTATTGTTATTCACTACTTTATTTTTACAATCACTATTATTATTAGTGTTACAATTATTAATAATATAATTATTATTATTATTAGCCTATTATTATTATTATTATTATTATTATTATTATTGTCATTGCCATTGCCATTTTTGTTATTCTTATTCATGCCATTCCAAACGACTGGGTGTTCAATATCCCGAAATCCACTGCCTCCTTAAAGTTGTCATAGGTTTCATGTTTTGTTGGTAATCGAAAAATAATGCTACACGTGTTGGCGGTTGGGAATCTACTGTCGTCCCTTAGAAACTCCAGCTCTGGCTTATCGTCGAAGCCAGTTATTGGTATGTCTGTTGCCCCACTTGCAAATTCAAGAACGTTTTGACAGCTACACTGTGCTTCATTTTCTGAAATGATTAAATAAAAAATAAAACATGATATTAAAGCAGTGATAAACGCAGTGGCATATCCAGACCTGGGATAGCGATGCTAGGCAACGTAACGATCTATTCATGTCTTATTAGACAAGTATTGCAGTTCCAGTTTGTTCCCATCTACGAACTAATACTTAGAAACAGGGATAGGATGTATTTTACCAGGCATTGCAATAAATTATTAATGTTTCGATGTAATTGTATGAAATATAAAAAGTAAAGAATGATTTCACTTGTTTTGTTGTATGAAATATTAGCAAACAATATGTACTAATACCTTCTGCATCCATCAGGTAGTCAAGCCAGAATACTGCCGTTCTGTCCTCCTTTGCTCGCCAGTTGCTTCCAATGGCACTAAAGTTTGTTTTAAAAAGCGTTCTGATTTTGGCAGCAGTTAGCTTAGGATCCGGGGCAGCTATGAATGCCTCTTGGCAGCACATTGGTTGGCTCTGCATTGCCGCTATTAACACACCTAGTGTTTCCATACCTTTACGAAACCTATGAAGTATATACGTAATACAGTATATTCATTATAGTTTGAACATCAAAGATTACAAGAAATGAGGTGTCTAGAAAACATGTCCCATATCTCTGGTCTGAGTTTTCTTGTTTAAGAAACCGCACACAAGATATCGAATTTTTCGATAGCTAAAAAAACTCATAATAGGCCAATTCAAAGTTTTTACTAAAAGAGTTTTTCTTGTTTAAACATTGATCTAGTTGCTTACTTTTATAACCTATATTTTGATTAAGGGCTTCACATTTATAGCTGGGGTTTATTCATGGCAGATCTTTTGTGACTATAATAGTGAGATTTTAAACTGAAAATGGGGTGTAATATAATTTTAATGTGTATTATCATCATCGATGTCATCATCGTCATCATTAATTAAAGACATGTTTTTGAACTAGAAATTACATATAGGCTATCTGAGGTTTTTCGCACAAGGAACCTCGGATCAGAGATAGCTCAGTTTCCCAGCCACCCAAAAAATTCAGAGGCGGATTCAGTAGGGGACCCCCCTTTTTTTAACCACTAAATTTTAAACATTTAAATGCATATCAATGTTATGTGCTACTCACCTATTCTGAAA